TCCGTTTTTTTTTTCATTGTTCCTATATGGAAAGTAACTTAATTATTTTATTCTTCTACTGCTGAGGGTAACCTATACTATGTCCAGCGAGAGAACACTCAGAATTTGCATGCTCACCCCACACCCTGCCATCGATACCTGTTGACTATGGCAAGGTGTCACGTGGAAATGCTGAGAAGAACCAATTTCCGTCGGGCTGTGGGTTCTCTCGCTGGACAGACGGTGAAGCGAAATAGGTTGTGCAACGTAAATACGTAATAATAACAACAGAGTACAGCCCGGGAGTACAGAGGAAGACCTGACAAATTAATTGATTAAATTACTTTTCTTCTAAATTCCAATCAATATTATAATTTTTTATATATAGGTAGGTGTTATTTATTGACTCACACGTCTAGGTCTAATATCTAAAATTTTATACTTTTTACTTTAGATTCTGAGAGGACTGATGAATGTGTCGATTTTGCAATGATGTGTGTTTTTTTTTTTTTATTTGTGTCTATTAGTTTATGTAGTTTAGTTATTACTTTTTGTATAAGTATTCGAAATAATGCTTCTCATTTTCAACTTCATCGGTATCTTGTTCGATGGGAAATTGAATCTAGTCGGTGCATTGTGGAGGTTTTCAAAAGCACCGGGACGAACAAAAAAAAAAAATGAAGGAAAAACTGGAATTTTTACTCAAAATCGGTTTTCGACAAAATCATAGAATTATTTTGTTAGAAATTCATAAAATTTTTATTTTAAAATTTATACCACGTGTTTATTTTATCAATTTCCGTACTTGATAAAATTTTCAATATATTTTGATTCATTTTGGGCTGTTTACGGACTATTAAAGTTTTTTTAGTTTTGTCAGTCAAATTTAATTTGTTGCCTCAAAAAGAGTGAAAATTGAATACAAGGTTCCTGATAGGTAAATTGTTACTATAGCAGTTGAAAAATATTAAAAATACATAACCAAATTATTACGATCACGTGGCGTCGTAGATAGGCAACTAAGGTTACACTAAACGTGACCAATTAAAAATCAACAATACGTATTATGATTTATGATAGTCAGTGTGGGTCTTAGGGTGTGGGAAGGGGGTGCTTGGGAGTTGGGAGCTGAAGCACCCAGTTCCGAATAATTTTTTTTTTTTTTAATATATTTTATTTAGAAAATATACCTACAATCTGTAAGGTTATTTACAATAGGCATATATGCGGTGTTTATGTGATTTTAACGTGAGTTAACATGATTTTAAGGAACAACCCAACAGTAGTACTTATGGCTTGAGGGTCCGAATAATTGAAAATTTTTTTTTTATAAAATACTTAGATATCATGTATCACTCAGAACTAGACGTATTCATTGCATACTACTACCAAACAATTAATGTTTCATTTCTGTAAAATATTACTCTCTATAATTTTTTTAATGGACGATTTTACTCAAAAAATAAATCATTTGCTTGAATGCATTTTTTCTATGTTTCGTGAGGGTCAGGGAAAGAAAAAAAATAGAGTGCTGACATCTTCTTTACATCAAAACAAAGCATAGGTTGGTAGGTAGGTATAGGTATGTACCTAATCTTGGCAACAATTATTAGAAACGCTTGACATGTCGAAAAATTTATTCAAAATACAAAATCTATTATAGGTACCTAAGTTAACAACTCTAAAACGGATACAATGAGTAATAGTTGTTATTCATAAATGGGCATCACACTCAGGGGCGGACTGGGATGTAAACAGCCCAGTATTCTATAAAACTAAACGGCCCAAGCACCCTTTATAACAGCTTCTTTATGAATACCTACTTTTTCGGGTATAAATTATGAATAGACAATAGCCAATAGGTTATATTAATTATTATATATTTTATAAGAATCATAAATGTAACCCTTTTGATATTTTTGATGTTTGTTTACTATTGTTTTTATCATTTATTTCATAATCACCATTCATATTCGTATTAAACCAAAATCATCTTCATCTTCATCAGTTTCAGAATCGTTGTATTATTATATTATTAGTCATTACTTTTAATATAAACTTTATATACATGTTTTCTGTTCTCTTTCTCAACAAACCTACAATATTTTTATCAATTTTTGCAAATAGTTCAATGATTGTAGTTTAGCAATGACTTTCTGGCGGTCGATGTACCAACCAAATCATATAAAGTGTTTAAACATTATTGTGTATAAAACTGATTTTTAAAATTGTAATACAATATAGGTACAGCATATACCTAATAATTATTATTATTATAAGCTTATGGTTCGACTATGAAGTTATTGTAGCATTGTACCAACCAATAACAGTGGTTTTTAAACTGTTTCGTATTTGAAAATAAATTTAAATAAATGTTCAAATGTTCAAAATTTCAAATGCCCCGGAGGCCTTTTCCTTTTTTTAAGATACCTTAATATTTATGATCTTCTTAAAAATAAAAATTAATATTAATAATATGAAATTAATTAACTTAGATTTTGACACAAACACATTACTATCAAAACAAACACTTGAAAATAAGATTTTAAATTATTATAATAATAGGTAGATCGTAGATAACTGGTTTTGTATAATAAATTAAAATTGAATTGTTTTGAATCACAATTTGAAAATGTTTTATGTAAAAATAATATAAACATTTATTAGTTAATAATATGTATTCCAAATGTGTATTATACTTAATGTAGTCCGAAATATACTAAATTTGAAAATGTGAGATAAATAAAATTTGAGTTTAAACTTTAATATTTCTTTAGTTGATAACAATCTGTCCTATAGTATTCGATTTAGCGTATAAGGGGCAGTTACAGTATTGTAAGCAATATTATTATCTCGTAAAATGTAAAGACTATTTTTGTTATAATAATGTTATTATTATTATTAATATATCAATAATAATTATATAACTTGGAATTCTAACACTTCTGAGAGTATAATAATATCATATTATTTTCAGTTTCAACAAATATGTAAAATTAGCTCCCAAATCAAAATCTTTTATAAGGACTATTTCTTATATGTAACAATTTATGATTAATAAAACCAACAATCATTATCAGGGTTGGGATTTTATATCATTTGCATATTTCTTATGGCCTATGGGATGCTTAGAAAATAGCAGAGTAAGCTAAAAATGTATTTCTTGATAAGTACAGATAACTTAAATTAAAAATTTTATTTTGCTTTTTTTGCATATTTTGCAATCTCAGGGCTGCCACTGTGTTCTTAATTTTAAAAAGTGAAAAGTGACTTTTTTTCTCGAAAGAAGTGACCAAAATCATCGATTTAGTTTAAAAATATTTATTGAAGTACCTATAACAAATAAATAATAATACAAATTCAACATATTATTTTTAGGATAATATTAATAATACTTAAACAACAAATAAAATATTCAGACTCAAATAAAAATAAAAACATTTTTAACTTTGTAACTAACTTTTGAACGTATAATACTTATACACTAAAATTAAACAATAAGCAATAAAAATTAATTTTTTGATTTTTTAAAAATAAATTGAGATATCAGATTAGACTTTATTTTTCAATCTTTGTTTGTAGTGATTCGGTCTTAATACTTCTTTTTCGTTCACCATCACAGAGTTTTTTTTAGAATAGGATCTTGTGTAGGTAAAAAAAAGTGAGAAAGGTGACAATTTTACAGAAATAGTGACATGATCTTAGAAAAGTGACAAAAAGTGTGAAAAGTGAGTGAGTGGCAGTCCTGTGTTCTTTTAGTTTTCAGTGCTTTTTTTGGACTTTTTGAGACTTTTGCATTTTTACCTGTTTTTGAATCAAAATCTGTCATATATTATGAAATTATATTTTAGTACCTAAACATGTTTTTAGATTTTTGTCAATCGAATTATTACGATAATTTTGTATTAGGTATTTGGTTCTAATTGTTGTTATCTGCTGATTTTGTTGATTTTTACTGCGATTATTAATCACCGATTATCAACGAATGCGTTGTATAGTCAATTCATTTGGATTCTGATCAGAGTGAATAAATTATTTAAAATCTTAAGTAGCTACCTATAATAATTTGTAAGTGATCAAAACATTATTAATTAATAAATTTCCTTTTTTTGCATATTTTATTGTTTTTATTGCATATTTTTAGCACATATTTAACAATATTTGAGGTAATATTATAGAGCATATTTACGCAATTTTAAGTGCTATAAAATCCAAATCCTGATCATTATACAATTGTTTGAAATTCATAAATAATGTATTATTTTAAAATCTTACAGATAGTAAAATAAAGATTCATAGTATAAAAATAAAAACATTCAATATTTATTTAACAATATATTGTACTTAAATTCCAACATAACAAAAATAAATTATGTATGTGCTTCCGTATTAAAAAAAAAAGTTTTACATTAAACAAAGCAGACAGGATTCATAAACATAAAAATATTAACACAATTAACTTTTATAAAAACTAAAATTCTTTGTTCTTACTAGTTACAATTTTACTTCCTTATTAGTTATTACTACTAATATATTTTATAAAAATCATTAGACTAGCAAACAGAACATTAAAATATATTTGTTTTATAATAAAAGTTGTGTAAAAATATGAGATTCATTTAAACATTTGTATAAATATAAATACATCAATAATTATTAATTAGTTTAGAAATATTTAATTAAAAAGTTGAATAAAAATGTAATGTATCGAATTAAAAATATTAATTTCTCATTGCAATTAATACAAATTACAATCATAAAATAAAACTGTGATACTTAACAACTATTTAAAACATAACAATCTTAAACATTTTATGTGTGATGCCAGATACTAATATTGTATGCAAACTAATACACCTTATTCTATATTATGTAAAAGTTAAAACAATTAGAATATTTTAATTATGTTTCTATAATTTGATTTGGTATTAATATCACATTTTAGTAGGCACATTATCAAGCAATATATAGACATGATGTTTGTATCTTATTATAATATACTAAATATACTCAGACTCCAGTCAACGATAGGTGAGGTTTAAATTATCATCCACCACTAATGAAACACCTGCTAGATCCCAAACTGCAGTAAGATGGAATGTCATGTTACTCAACACGACTAAATACTCAAAGAGAGCAAAAAATGTATATACTGAAATTATATACAAGTCAATAAGTAAATACAATATATGTATATGTGTACAATGTGCATGGGAAAAGTATTTTTATTTAAGTACAAACCACCAGATTCGCAATAAGCATTATGTCGTAAAAAGCAATAGCCAGCAATTGCAAAACTGGTCATATTGAATACCGTAAAACATATTTTGTATTTTAATGACCGAATTTCTAATTTTGTCATAACTGTTTTAGTAATACGTCCTTTTTTCAATAATATAGAAGAAATAAGCATGTTAAGTTCAGAAGCACAGATAAACGTGACAAAACTTTTTTCATGAATACCTTAAAACAATACAAAAAGTTCATATTAATTATTAAGTATTTTATACATTTGTTAACACTTAAATTTAAAAATAAATGTACAACTTATAAGTTATTATTTATTACGTTTTATTGTAATAAACATGTCTTATATAGTTATAGTATATATCTTAAATATTTGACTATTTAATCATATAATTCATTCTTATCCCTTTTTCGATTAGAAAAAAAATGTAATCCAGTATAATTTAAAGAAGATTGAATTGGAATATTAAAAAAAAAATGCTGGCAAATATATTTAATTCAATTGCTACCAAAACATCAAACCAGCCACGAAGGAATAAATCTACAATTAAGTGAATTACACACTAGGCGATTCAAAGGCGTGTCTCGGTGCGTTTCGAACGTCACGATTCGATCTCTCAAAATAAAACAGCTATATTATTATGGCTATATTCACACTGATAAAATAGGCGTGCGTTCTGCCGCGTTGAAACGCGCTGGTTTAATTTTGGGCGATTGATCGCGCAAACGCTATAAAATTAAACCAAGTATTTCCAATGTTATTATTCACATTGGGCGTTTTACCCGCCGAAACGTGGCGTTTATTTTATATTTTACGTATGTATTTTAACTTATACTGATTTAATAACTTATTTTTACATTAAGCTTAATTCATAATGATAAATTACTAACAAAAGTCCCTAGGTATATTTAAAGGTAAAGTAGTAAGGAACTAATTTAAGTTAGTATTGAAGATACTAAGAATGTACGTACATTTATAGACAACCTATTGAAAACTGTCCACAGCATGGTAAAAATATATTATATTGAATTTATCACTATTATATGACATTAAAATGTAATTGCAATGGTTAACTGACAGATCTTCCTAATATACCTTATTTGAATAAGAAGTTAATTACAATTAAAATCAAAACTAATTTAACTTAAGGTATGTAGAAATATGATTCCTTGAGTTTCTTTATACTCTATAAAAATATAAAACAGTAAGAAAATATAATTTAGGTAAAATGAAATAGCAATAAATTTAAAATTATAAATAATAGGATAAATACAAATATTAAATAATTAAACATTTCCATTATGGATATTCATTAAAAAGAGAAGAAAACACTATGCTTAGCATAGTATTATTATTAATGTCTTAAGAATAATATATTGTGAGTATTATATACATCTAAAACACTCATTGTGATAAGACAAATTTTATAGAATTAATGTAAATTGTAATTTAATTTATATTTGGTTATCTTTAATATATTCATAAATAATTTATAAAAATAAATAATTTCTAAAGGGTCATGGATTTGTGGTTGGCTTATCAAATAAAAATTTAATATAATATAATTTACAATTTAATATAATTTATATTTGAATTATTTAACCTTACACTGTATTTGGATATATCCGATGGCCGTATATAAATTTAAGAATAAAAAAAGAATTTAACCATTAAAAGTTTACCATCCAGAAAAAATTGGGAAAAATTTGATTAAAACCAAAACAAGTATTTTTTTTTTTTCATACAAAAATAATGTCAAGGATTTAAAAATAAATATCTAGTTCGTCACTTTATTATACTCACTGTAATAATCCGATGATGTAAATATTGATAATACAACTAGTGAGCATACTTCAACAGTGGTTAAAAATCTTAATAATACCACACACCAATGTAACGATGGTTTAATTATATTAGTGTAGTATTGGTAGTATATAGCAACCACGATAAGTCTTATAGGACTATGAGCGATTATAACTAAAGTCCAAATAAATCTTTGTACTGGATAGTTTCCCACGGCAGTTGATATTGTAGGCAAATAATTTTTGACCTAAAAATTTTAAAATTTAGCTACATAATATCTTAAAGTAAAAAAAAAAGGTGCTTATAAATCTCAATAAACATACTCGGTAGCCACAATGTGTTGATGTAGCATCTTCCAATTTGAAAAGTATAGTCCACAAAACACAAAACACAAAGGTAACCAATACACTAAGTAAAGTGATTATTGACAGCCAATACACTTTGATTTGAAATAAATACCGCTTGTCTGGTTTTTCTGGGCACGATACTGAATAATTTTGAATCATGCTTGAAATTCGTCGTAAATCATTCATACTAGAAAATAAAGTTAAAAAATTATTCATAAAAACATAATAATATCTTATAGAAATCTGAACTTTTTTTAAATATCAGTATAGTAACTAATTGGCTTTTTTTATAAAGATTTTTACAGTAAGTAGCGCACGGTGTTTAAATATTTTGGTTTGTCGAGTAACAAAATATAGGTAGGTTACTAAAAAAAAACTTTCATATTCCATTAAGAAGCTTATACATAGGTAAAGGTATATAAAACAATCTTTAACAATTGAAAAAGCCACACCCATTTTGAATATAGCACATAATATTTTAAATTAAATCAATTATTCTATTAGACATACCTAATATTATTTGAGCAAAATGATGGTTGTTTGAATAAGTGCTATACTATAATAAGTTATTTTAGTATATTTACAGTATTTTATCAAAAACCAATTAGTTTAGTTATAAAATAAACATAACCCTAGGAAATAAATAATACGTATGTAATTATAGCAAGCACAAACAACAGACATTTATCTTAATTCATTGCGGATATCAAGTTCAATTTATACAAATTATTTTCTAATTCATAATTCAGTAAAATCCATTCGTGGGTACGCATATATAAACAATTTTGAACATTCTATTAACATAAAATATAGGCGGGTAGGTGACTTACTTATATCAATGGTAAGTCTATTATGCTTAAGCTTAATTAAATGAACAGCACGACGTTTAGAACGATTAGTGAATTTCAAGTGTTTCAACATTTCGGTTTTTATAGACATCTCAAAAATTTAAGCGGCAAACGGTATCAATAAGGAACACATAATAAAATCAATTTACGGCAATAAAAATATAAAATATTTAAGGAACTTAGGTAGGAGCGTATTATTATTTATTGTACTATTATATTGTTATTATTATTATCATTTTTTTTAACGGATCGACTTTTATTATTTTTATTATTATGTCATTGATAGCGATAAGTGTTACCATAAGAGCGAACCAGAAATATTTGCTTATGAATATTTAGAATATCGTGAGATGTTGATATTTTTATCCTGATCATCGATAAATTATTATTCAATTAATAAAATAATATTATGTATCATTTAAAACAAAATATAAATCAGAGTATCAGAATGTATTAAAACTCAAAATATTGTTGAATCTCGAATAGATAGGTGTACGGTGTACCTAATCCCAATACCTAATGCACAAATGTTTTTATAATAATATACTTAGTCATTATAGATTATAATAATATTATTATACTTTAATACTTACAAGTCACGTGGCTATTATTGGTATAAATGTATGAAATATAAAGTATGAGTTATAAGTTATAAGTATTATAGTGTAGCCTTCGTAATTTTATATGACGTATTACCACAGTATTACATAAGTACCTACTACTATGACAAAGATAACTTTGTTTCAGTAGTTCTTCGTAACACTGCAAACTATCCCGATGGCTGATGCAATTATATGACAAATTTATTCAACCTTATATCAGAAATGTGTTCTAATATAGTTGATATAATTACTAAAATAATATATTTTAATATTAGTATCAATATTAAATTCAAGTCATAAAATATAAGAAGCAAGACGAAACATTTCAGTCATTATAATATCGAATTATTTTCAGTAATTTAATGTCAAATGTCAATCATGACTGACGAGTAATCGAATATGTATTATTGTATTATTGTACGCACTACGAAATATGTGAACTATTGTAAATTGTGAATACATTTTATTTTATAAATATTTATTATTTAATGTCTATTACAGAACACATTTACCACAACTATTGCCTGTTTGCCTCAAAATAGTATTATAACTAATATAACTAATAGTAACCTAATAGTACCTACCTAAGTAAAAATAGCTAGTTTATTGCACAGGCGTATAGATTTAACTAGCACCTACATGACAACACGCCAACAGTATACTAGACGTAGGTACTTATGAGTTATGAATCTCAAAGAAAAAAATGGCCCTTAGTTTGTCTTTTGTATTCGCTCTAATATAATCAATTTATCCATTTAACTAAATAAAATTTAAAAAAAAATTTCCACGACAACTCAAAACCCAAAAATTATCGGTTTTATATTATATTAACATATTATTTTTTTAATCTATGGTAACAATTGTAAATAAATAACAATAATTGTAAATAACAGCATTCTGCATTACACCAAACGAGACTTAAATATTTAGGCCACGAGGAGAACCACTAGTTTTGCCGTTCACACCACCAACTCTGTGCTAAGTTATCTGACAATGACTATACAATGTAGAATGTAGATACATGCGTCATGCAATCAATGAGCGTACCTAAATAATAAAATATATTATTCTAACATTAGTTTACTGCCATTAGTTAGATATCAATACCAAATAATTCAATTTCAATAATAGCAATTGTCTTTAAATTGTAAATGTTAAGTGACTATAAAAAATTAAAGATTACCTTTATTATTTGACACCAATTTTTTATCTATAATATATTATTTTTAATATGCATTTAAGTAAATAATTATAGCATGTACAATATAATATGTATGATAAGTCATATAAACACATGGGTTTATGAAATAATATCATTTTTTTTCTATAAAAATTGTGACTCGTGAGCCTGACTTTGGTAATTTATTCATTTTGGATCATTAAAACATATTAAATTTACTTCCGGGTAATAATATCCTAAAATATGTTAATATAACATAGGTATAAAACAATAAAAGTGTGCCAGGAATTAGAGTCTCGGCCTCCAGGGTCCCTGGCAGTTCCCGAAGTAGGAACTAAAAAAAGAATAAATAAAAAAACCCTTGTTTGTGGATATGGGGGTCATTCCCCCCACCGAAGACCAAATTTTGTAAATACACAATCTAACATATTATATATAATAATATGTGTATACTGGATGTCCATTAAAAATTGTTTATCCCACCCCTTTTGAAAAATCCTGGATACGCTACTGGACAATAGGTATACTGTTAAACTTTAAAACATAGCAATTATTTTCAACCTTCAGTTGCCATCTATCGGTAACGTTATAATCGCGATCTCTGAGTCGTGTTAGACAAGCTTTAATCTCAATCAAATAAATAATAAATATGTACATACAATTATTTTGATGACTTAATTGTAATTCAAATTATTATTTTTAATCGTCAACATTGTGAATAATGGCCTATACTGAGGAAGCTACGCTAAATTAAATACCTAGCTCAGGAAACATTTTTAAACCAGCCAGTCTATGAGACCAGAGACCAGAATATGATTAAACAGAAAGTCCTAAGCCTTATAAAGGGTGAAGGAAAATGGTACCCACTCATTAGTCTAATTTCTGATGTTTCTATTGCTTGTAAATTGTGTGCAAATAAGTTATTGTTTTTGTGCGTAAATGGGTTGTAAAAATGGCGAATGTGCGCAAATGAGTTGTAGCCGAATATAATAATGGTTAGACATAGGCGTAATAATAACAATAATAAATATTAATTTTTACTAAACACATAATTTTCAAGCTCAGAATAATAATATGTTCTGTACATCTTAATAGGCGTTATAGTTATAGTCACCAAAACCATCCATATAATGTTACCTAGCCAAAAACTAAATCGTTATAGAATATAGGTAGGTAAATAAAATATATTTATTATGATAGTACACATGGGTGTATTTTGCATTTTTATTAAAATTATGACGAACACAATTATGTCTACTGTATAGCGTCTATGCAGCCATTGTCACAAAAGTCTAAATAAGGTATAAATACGCAAAGCACCAAACAAATAAAATAAATATAAGCTACAATTTACGCATATTATACAATAATATACCTATTGCCTATTATATTTTTTTATATAAAAACACTATTACAACTTACTTTGATATTATTAATGTATTCAAATTGGACATCAAGAAATCGAATATTCAACTACAACATTAATTTGTACAAGAAAATGTACAACGAACATATTTTGTCTTATATAAAGATATAATTACATTTTTATCAATTGATTTTAATTAAACCATTTAGATATATTTAATAATATACCATTATATACATTATATATTATACTTAAATTATAATTTATAAGCTATATTATTAAGTATATTTATACATTTTTTAAAATAATGTTCCTAATTGGTTTGTTATATTAGACTAATTTTAAGATAGTATTAAAATGACTGTTTTAAATTTTCTATAACTATATTAACTATATAATACCCAATTTATATTTATTTATGATATAATTTACGGTTATGTTTGGATAAATTTAAATATATCTATATTATGTTTTGTTTCTACATGACTACATATTATGGTTTCTATAATAATATATAATAATCTATATTCTATGTAATTGTTAATTTGTTATATCTTATTTTATTCCTTAATTATAAATAAGTAGTGAATGTTAGTCGGTACCCACTCGCTTTGTTCCTCCACCTCCATGATTTTTTTTAATTTGACTATTCAATATAGATTGGTCTCTTACAACTCGAAGCTTGATAGTTGATAGGTACTAACATTTATCTAAAACATAAAGATTGATTTTAGTATTAAATTACTCTACAATACTACATAATAATATCTATACAATTAAAATTAGTTCAAAACTGTTAGTATCTATAGTCTTTCTGAGAATGTCAAGTCATAATATTCTTTCATAATTTTACAATGAAATTAAACAAATTGTATATCATGGTTAAAAATTAAAATATTTAATATTGGTAGATAACTACATAACACAAATGGAGACCATTGTAGGAGCCATTCTTCTGTTTTTCATATACATACCAGCTGTAGATACTAGATACCTAAACGGCTACACGACTAGACGAGCTGATTAGAATGCTTGTATAACAGATATAGTAATGTAATATGATAATAATATGTTGTATTATACTGATATAGAATAGGCAGTTCAAAAAATAAAATAAAATACAAGTGCGTCTTATATAAAAAAAATAATAATCACACGTAGAACACGTCATAACATAACAATACTAGATACCAGTGTACCACTACCTATTTAACCTATAGTAGTATAGTAGGTTATAGTATAGGCATGTAATAGTATACCTACTAAGAAACTTTAACTATAATAGAGTTTACCTTTACCTAATGGAATGGAATTAGAATTTTTGTGTCGGGCGTTGTCATTAAACACATTTATTTTGTAAAGTTGCAATCATAATATTATTAACTTAAGTACCGGATGTAAATAACTTAATCGATAACTTACTTAATCGATGTACAAACCTAGCTTTGCTTATTTTTTGACAATCTTTTTTATCCCAAATTTATGTATCTTGGTTACTTTAAAACTTTCACATTCTGATACTGGCTATTTTCTAGACGCCTAGTATAATGTAGGCATATCGCAGAAAAACATACTAATAATGGATGGTAATTACTAATTATATAGCAATTAAAAAGAATTTTTCTGTATTCAAATCCGATAAATTTATGAATAAGTAGTAAATGGTTTCCTTCTATATCTAAGTAAAATATTATAAAATTTGTCCTCCAAAAAGAATTCAAATAGATGGAAAATAATAGATAATAAATAATAAATAATAGACATTTTATAATAGTATAGGATTATTATTATCATATTTTATTCAAGGCAAATTACCAAACATCTTCTTTCATGCTTGTGGATTAAAGTAGCATACATATTTGGTCCAACGACAAAATGTTATGACAAATATAATTTAATACACAAAATTAATTATTATTATAATATAATACTTAGTAAAAATGAGTAAGAGCACGAAATTTTAAGAAATAAAAAATACTTAAAAAATAAATAATAATAAATTAAATTAATTAAATACTTAATTTTAAGTTAAGAAATCGAGTTAATAGCCACTAAATAAGAACTAATTTCATTTAAAACATAATATAGGTAATTAGGTAAGGTACCTACATTACAACTGTAATATATTCTTATTAGAGCCCACAGGTTACATAGGTACAAGGTTACCTTATCGTGTTACATGTAACCATTATACTATAAACTCAGAGATTACTTACTAATTGGAATATAAAAAGAAAAAAACAGTTAAAAAAATACGACTAGGTATTTAAAATATTGTACCTACCTACAACTCACGTAATATATTATATTTTTAACGTTGTGAACTCCTAGGAAATATATTACAGTATAAAAATGCTTAACATTTACAGAAAAATTTAAACATCGTAAAAAAGAAAATATAAAACCGATAACATTCCTACTTTTAACTTTTAGTTTGATAAGTAATAGCCAATAGGTAAATCCACTGTAATATTAAAGCTGAGGGTGTCTAAACCAAAAGGCAACAATTTTTAAATGTCCTTATTATTTTTTTTTAACTAAATTAAGTCTTTTCAACCGATTCGGAATATCACGTTTTCAATAACGAAACATTGGTGTACATAAAAACAAAATCAGGAAAGTTATTATTTCGAAATCCCCATAATCGAATATCTGTGTTGTTAATATGAAACCTTCTGCACTAAACTGAATACACATTACTACATTAGTACGAAATTCGACGAACTCTAAACCAGGTGTCGGAAATTAAATACTATGGCGGTCCAGATAATTTGAAAAAAAATTTTCGAGGGCCAGAATAAACTTAAATATTTTTTAATATAATGTGTTTATTTTTGTGTTAAAAATACAGTTTAAGAGACAGCACATTAACATAAAGCCATAAAGGCATAGTATGTGGTTTTCCAGAAGTCAGAGAAAAATTGTGGCAAATTTACTTCCATTTTGTTCATTTGTTTTTTTAATTGAAATAATATTTAAGTTAAAAATAAATAAAAAAAGTTTGTTCTCTTAATTTTTAAAAATCTCAATTATTGTTTCTATCTACCCTTCAGTTGGTAAAATAGAAAAATATACCAAAAAAACCATAAATGTTTCTATTGACACCAACTGTCGGGTCAATATAAACAGAGCACTTCAGGGTATTCGATACCGTGATTTTCTGTTTGTGTCTAACACACACTCGACATAGGATTTTAGACTGGTTCTTTGCCAAATATACCAATTGATAAATTGAAGCGATAAGAATTCTAAAAACCGATTTGAATTTGTTGTCAAGTCTACTTGGAATCGACTTTCCCACATTTGTGATTTTTTGATATTAACTTCTCCAAAAATTGAAATATGAAATTTTTTAAATACTATTTTAGATTCTGAGTGAAACGATAAATGTATTGATTTTACAATGATGTGTGTATTTTTTTTATTTTTTCATCACGTTTTAGGACAGTAAAAGTGCTTGGATTTTCTTCAACAGTAGCTTTTCTGATAGGAAAGTGAATCTAGTTGGTACTTTGGGGGGTCAAAAGTGAAAATTTCCCAGTAGTTTTCAAAAGCGGGAAAAACGGGAATTTTTACACTAAAATCTGTTTTCGAAAAAATCAATTTTGGTTTTTGGTGCAACTCTTAAACAAATGACCGTAGGTACATGAAATTTTTACTGAATGTTTATATTAGCATTTTTTATACACGATAACATTTTCAAAATGTTTTGATTTATTTTGAACTGTTTATGCACATTTTCATTTTCCATTTTTTTTAGTTTTTTTTCTAAAAATATCAATAAAATTTTATTTGTTGGTTAAAAAAGCTTGAAAATTTAATACAAGGCTTCCACTATATTTTTACAATTGCATTTAAAAAATATTAAAAATCCTTCGTCACAGTTTTTTTTTAAAAGCATTTAAACTTCAAACATTTACAAAATATGGAAAAATCACGAAAATTAGCAAATTATTTTGAGTTAAGAATTCGTAAAAATTTTTCTTTTTAAACCTAAGGTTTTAAAATGTAATGCAAGATTCTTTATAAGATTATCTACCTTTATCAAAAAAAAAAATGTCTATAAGAAAGTCAAATTAAATTTTTATGAGCGTTTGAAATTTAAATGTTTACAACATTGGATATTAACTCGATTTCTCATGTGGCGATTTCCTTATTTTGTTGTAATTCAAAAACGAATTACTGTAGATACATGAAAATTTCACTGAATATATTTTATATTAGCATTTCCTATACACCATACAATTTTGACTTTTTTTGAGCTGTTTATGGACATTTTAAATTTTAAAGTATTTAGTTTTTTATTCTATAAATATCAATAAAGTTTTATCTGTTGGGCCAAAAAAGTGTAAAAATTTAATACAAGGCTCCTGATATATTGTTACAATATCAGTTGAAAAATATTAAAAATATATAGGCACAATTTTTTTTATAAGCATTTAAAGATCGAATTTTGACAAAATGTATCAGATTTAAAATTGAATAATTATTTTGTAGTTAAAAATGTATAAAATGTTCAACTTTTATATTATCTAAAGATTGAAAATTTAAAACAAGATTCCACGTAAGTAGTTAATTCTGTTAACAAAAAAATCTAAAAAATACAAAAGCACAGTTTATTTGTATAGTCATTTTAAGTTCAAATTTGGATGAAATTACATAAAAAAAACGTAGAAGAACTATTTTAGTTATTTTGTTGTGATTGTATAATATTATTCGTGGGTACTTGATACTTCTAAAGTATACTACTATATATCTATGATAATATAAGGGTTCGTGGTTGACGTTTAACGCATTATAAGTACCTGATGGACATTGTGATATGATTAATTTGGAATTTATTATAGGTAACTATTTTAGGTAAATTTTTTTAATACGATAGATCAGTATAATATAATATGTCTTATACCTAGACTGACATACCGTCTCCGCTCAGAATCGTTTTTCTTATACAATGATATTATATCATTGAATTCAAATTTAATATTATCCATTATACTGTGACCCACTTGTAACCTACTGTACATCAGAGCACGTTTTTTAATATGATATTTTTAGAAATTTGGGGGATAATGTTAAACATGTAGGAATGTTGATTTCAAGTAGACTGGATGACATATTAAATTCTGTTTTCATAATTCTTATCGCATCAATAGATCAATTGGTAATTGGTATGTTTGGCAAAAAAAACACGTCTAAAATACTATGTCGCGCGCTTGTTGAACAAAAACAGAAAATTACGGTATCGTATCGCCTTAAATAAATATATAAAATTATTTATTAAAAATAAAAATAAATTGAAATAACAGATTTAAAGTACCTACTTGGTAAGACCAGTATTTTGATGATCCCATGATCTGTAGCCCAAAATGTAGTCCAAATAAAAAAGTTTTTATGATACTTCAAAGTACAAAAGTGTTTCTATTCACCAGGGTTTACTTTATGTATTTAATCAGATTTAATCTTATCTGATGACAAACTAAATAGTTGTAATAGGTACATAATATCAATTAAATCCTAAATTGGTTTATGATTTAATAACTACCTTACCTATACAAAATGTCAAAAGTCAAAGTATAAAATAATATAAATAATAAAATATTTATCTTGGTCAAAATATATTTTATTTTAGTTTATATATTATAGTATAGGCTCGAGTATAGGTATATTTTGTATATTATAATTTATTAAAATCGGTCACTCGTCGCCAGTCACCACTATACGTCATCAAACTACACTCGAGAAGGTAAACCGTAAAAAACGTACTGTCGAAACACATAATATTTTATAGAAAATAATGTCATACCGAACAAACACGATAATAATATCAATATATAATAGCAGCTGCGGTGAGCTGTGCTCGGCTTGTCGGTGTTCGTATTATACTCTGACGGCTGATCTATCTACAGTTGGTTCGTGGTCATCGTAGAAACCATAGACATATTGTTTGAAACCGACTTCAGTAATCAGTATAACTACTATAACTACAGAATCACGTGTTGACGTATCACGTCGTCTATAATTATGCCATCCCACATTTTTAATTTTTGTTCACGCATTTTATTATTTAAACCACATTTAAACCTATACCCATTAAACAAGACGCGAGGCACGAGGTGGGTAGGTAAAACTAGCGAGGCCCCAGTAGCGGATAAGGGGCTTCATTTTTTTTTGGGGGGGGGGGGCAAAAGTACTAAAAATACAAAATTTTGCTACAAAATTGGCTAAACACAGTGTAGAACAAAGGCCCCCTTTATTGCATCCCCCTGGATCTGCCATTGCCCGGCCATAAATCTTCCCCGGGTATAGGCACACCTAAATGGTCAAAATGTGAAATGTATTTGCGAAAGGATAGTAATAATTACTATTAGTTAGTAAATGCATTAGAATACCTAATAAAATAAAATAATAATAGGTAAATATTTATAATGGTACCCAATAAAATATGGTACATATTATTATTTTACTCAAAGTGGTAACATTGCAGGATACTATATTATCACTTAAACAATTTATGTTAAGCTAAAGCCGTGATCCCGCCTCTCAGAGACCAGCGTACTGTGATTAGAGATAACATTAATACAGTTTTTACTTTTTACTTTTTAGTCAGTTTGTACTGTTTGTAGGGTTTTAGGCTTTTAGCACGAATTAAGATATACTTAATACCTATAGTCTATACTATATCTTAATTCGTGGGTTGTAGGCAGTAGGCACTAGGCAGTTTAATACATCGGTATTTACTATTTAGACGTACTTAGTGTTTATTATTTATTATACTCAACACTCGGCAGTCAATACCTACTCATAACCACGATTAAAGATATACCTTATTATATCTTTAATCGTGCTCATAACTCGTAATAATTCATGTATCATGATTCACATTGATACAATATCATAATAATCAATTATAAATAATTGAAACGGCCAAAGGGTTGAAGTCACCTCATTAAAATATTTGATGATGCTGATAAAAAAGTAAAAACTGTCAGTTTTTAGTGAATGTGAATCGGTTATGAAGATATCGTGAAAATATTTCAAATAATCAAAAGTCTATTAGATGGTACCCTGCGATGGTTACTTTGTATTAAATTACCAATGTAGTTGGTTTTTTAATATTTTTCGTTAGAATTTGTTTTATATAAACAAAGAAACATCGATACTTGAAATGGAAGTCTCTGACCAAATGTTTTCTTTAAGTCAATCAAACATTTGTCGACTCTGTGGACTAAGCAACACCTCAGGGTTCCTGATATACCAAAAAGTAGATGCTGCTGAATTGACTATTGCGGATTTAATTAACCGCTATTTGCCTATTCAAGTAAATATGAAGTATAATACATCTAATTTTATGACTAGGATTTTAGATTATTCAACAAGTTGATCTTATACAAATATAAATATAATTTTAACTAACATGATTTATGTATTATTTTTGTAGTAAAGTTAAGGGTCCGGTGCCGGTTTTTAAAATTTTTCGCTTTTCTTTACAATTTGAAAATTATATTTAATATTTTAGTTGCCACCTTTAATATAATACTTTTCTACTAGTTTACTGCCCGAAATTTATTTAGGGGTCTTGGTGGTGCATTTTAAAGAAACAAATGATTCCACAGGAAAAATTTTCGGGCCTTGTAGAATTGTTGGATTTTGATAATGATTTTTTATCTGAAAGAAGAAGACTTCCAACAGACTACAATGAACTCCGATTTTAATGGTATAAAATAATTTGAAAAAAAGTGCTTAAAATTATCTTATTTTTAAATACAAATTTTTTAAAAATTTTTTTTATCAGAAAACAAAAATATAATATATATACAATCTGTAATAATTTATATAATAGGTAATATGAGGGGTACAAGTATACAAGACTGGACGGCATGATAGAAGGGGGATCCATTGACCCTACTTCAAAAAAATACACATTATTTGAGATTCAAAAATTGAAAATCTGAGGTCAATGTGGCCTGTAGAATATTACCCTCAATTAGTTAAAAAAAAATATCAAATTTGATTGATTTTACAGAAAATGATTATTATTCCCTTTGAGGATATTTTTGGGGACAATATTAAATTGGAATCGGGCCCCTTAATCAAAATCATATAGGTAATACAGCTCTATGTGGTTATTTATTTGAAAATTGGGTGGCTTTTATCTTTAAGACATCAAGCTTCTAACCCTCATTTAAGATTATTATACAACTATTTTATAGATTGTTTAGCAAAATTAAAAATAACAATTATATAATTTTATTTTTTAATTTACTTGTGTATATGACAGGTTTCAGATGATGACGAATACCCAAGAACTATATGTTCAAACTGTAAATGTCAGTTGGATATGTTGGTGAAATTTATTGATGATTTGTTAGATGGTCAAATGTTTCTCAAAAATGTTTATAAAATGTACAAGTCTAAACAGCTTTCTTCAGCAGAATATATACCTCTGGTTGATGAAAGAACTACTAATTTCAAGAATAATATAAACACTAAAAGTAATGATGTGGAATTTGTATGTGAGACTTGTGGCTTAACATTAGCTGACAAAAATGGCTTAAAGGCACATTTGAAAAATCAACATGGTAATTAAAAGGGGTTGAATTTTAAATTAGATAATATGGAATATAATATACATTATACAATTGTCAATTATCTCTTTATTCTTACAGAAGAACAACCAAGCCAGAGTGGTACTTCAACAATTAAAGTTGCTGAAAGATTTTCATGTGAACATTGCAAGAAAACATTTGCCCAAAAAAATGGGCTTAATACTCATTTAAAAACACATAAAGGTAAATTGTAGCATCTGTTATGGGCTATGGATTTTACGAATTCATTATCATAAATTGATACAATAGTAATATAGTTTCGACTTGACACAATGTATAAGCTGTAATCCAACTTCCAAGTATCATTTAATAGCTTTTAAGTTCATTAATAGTTTTGATCTTACAGAATATATAAGCTGTGATCCAAGTACCATAAAATGCTTTTTAGCTAAGTAATAAAATTGAGGACTCCTATAGTCTGTTCATTTTAAGAAGCGATTCGGCGGCCACTAGTAAAACCGGTTTTCAAGCGTAAATCAGGTCGCTTCTTATTTTGAACAGGGTATAGACATCTAGAAAATTATAATTGGGTAATTGATCAATCATAATTCATAACTCACGTGCCACCATTAAACCACTACTCACATTCTTACAAAGACAACAAGACACCTGCAAAACCATGTGCTGGGTCCAAGACAATAGAACCAGAAACCACTTATAACTTACAACTTAACCCAGAGTACAGCAGGATCAGATGTACCATAAACGTTGAGATCTGAGCACCTTCACGCCACTCATACAGAGACGACTTGTACATTTTTATAAGTTTTGCTTAATTTAAAATAGAAATAAACCATCATTACAACTATTGTTGGATTTGCTTTCAAACATTTATTTAAAAAAACCACCAATGTCTGGATCACTGGCAGGCCGCATACACCAGTTGTTTAAATATAATTTAATTGTTACTAAATAAATACAGTCTACATTTCACTTATTCTGCTACATTTCTGCTAATAGCAATAGCCAATAGACCATTCTGTTCTATAGTAAAATATTAAGCTATAATTAAATGTGAATTATTGAATTTATTTTAAATTATTATTTATTATTTTTTTAGGTGATAAAAAGTATGTATGTCAAGTATGTAAGAAAAGCTATTATCAAAATGGTAACCTACAAGAACACATGCGCATACATACTGGAGAAAAACCTTTCATTTGCGAATATTGTACAGTATCATTTAGAACATCATCTCAGGTTTATATATTTATAACAGATTTATTTATTTTTGTTTTATTGTCTAATTAAAGATTATATTTATAGTTGAAAACTCACATTCGATGTCATAGTGGTGCTAAACCTTACAAGTGTTCAGTGTGTGAACGATCATTCCCACATAATAATACTTTGAAAATTCATTTAAGGCGTCATTTCAATGATCGACAGTACAACTGTGAATATTGTCCAAAACAATTTTTTGACCATACATCGCTGGTCAGACATTCTCGTACACATACAGGTGACTATTTTGTTTTTCGGAAACATCTTGTTTATTATATTTTAATCTTACTTTACAAATTATATAAAACTGTTCTAATTAATTTTTTAGGTGAAAAACCTTATTACTGTGATGTATGTAACAAGGATTTTGCAACAGTCACAAATTTTAACAAACATAGAAAAGTAAAGTATAATATTAGTATATTTTCTATCATTAACCTAAGTTAAATTAAATCTTAACAATAAATGCATTAAGTAATGGAACAGAATTTGTTTTATTTTTAAAATAAAAACTAGAATTTGAATTTTAAAGATAAATTAATAATTTAAGTTTTAAAAAAGTCCTTTTGGCAAATTTAAATTAACTATAAATTTTAATGTTGTGAATTCATCTATTAATATACTCAAAACATTCCTAAAAATATTGAAATATGTATGTACAATTTATGTGGTGATATTTAGAATGTTGAAATATATTTTGTGTGAAACGGTACAATTTATACAGTCAACTATTCTGAACAACTATTTAAAAAAATATGCAAAATATATAATATATCCATACTAGCTTAATTATATTGCCATAATTTGTGATAGGTACATATGAAAGATAAAAATTCTACAGTATGGGAGCTGACTACCAAATTCCAAAAAGGCAGTTCAGAAATTGATTATATAAATGCTACAATAATTAACGATAATGATTTACAGCAATGTGATAGACAGAGGATGTATTTTAATTTCCAATCAAGTCAAGGTGTGTTACAGCTATTTGTTATAAAAATTAAAAATTATTTATTGTCTATTAACAAAAATTATGTTCTAGGATCTCAACTCTGATATGCGATCCAATAGTGTTAATAATTTAGATGATCTATTAAACGTCAACACTTCCTTCACATCTCTGAATTCTATTAGCTTTAATGAATCTATTTTAGAGTTAGCTGAAAACATTGTACCTTAGAACTTAGTATGATGATATATTTATATGAGGTAAATTAACAATTTTTTGTATTGTATTATAAGATGTCACTGACTTACAACATTACCATGCTGCCATTGATAAGACTGATAATCAATGATGACTATAGATTGTATCGGGTACATACAATTGTATTATATTATTCTTATTTTAATATATTATATTTATTTCTCTTTGATTCTAAATGTTAAGGTTTTTTTTTTTATAATTAACTATAACTGATCAGTATATCTACTATGAGTAAACATGAACATTTTCAAATGTATATTTTGTGCACATGTTTCTTTTAACTATTATTTTATCTTGTATATGATTTAATACGATAGGTATTAATTTCAACTTGCGATTAAATACATTTACTATTTTTTCCAAACATTTTGTAATGAAAAATACCATGTATCTGTTTATCTAATTTATATAGTATATAATAATACACATCAAGTGATCCATTTAACATAAGACACGCATTATTTCAGAAACTATTAATGCTTTTGAAAATATTAGATTTTATTGATTACCTATTTTACCAAGACTAAAATATTATTTTTTAAAGCTGAAACAGTGAAATATAAAATATTATGAGATCAATATTGTAGCGTACAAACTAACTTTGAATAAATACATAATAATATATTATAATATTATTTTGCAACTCGCAATAATTTAAAAAAATATACTACAAATTATAATGAATTATTATTAAAGTACATACAAAGTTAATTAATTTTCTCTTCAACTCGAAATGTTTTGATACCTAACTTTTTCAATTTCATTAAATGCACATTATAGATATGATAATGTATGATCACGTTGTATACGACTTCGGTTTTCGAGAAGTCTGATATTTAAAACGCTTGTGAAATATTATAATATTATTGTGTAATATAATATTATGCATGCGGTGGTAAGTATGGTATACAACCAGTTTAAGTACTACAGTCTTATTTTTATTTTTTCCTTAATATGGTGTAATTAAATAATAGAAAAACAACGTCAAAATTAAAAAAATTAAAAAATAAATCTGTGCTTCAAAGGGTTATTGCAATTTATTTGATATAAATAACTTAACCTAACCTAAATTGCAACACAAGTACACAAGCACACACAGAAAATCTTCAATAATTAGAGTGGAATTTTAAAGGTTATAAATAATTATAATATCCACGAACTCTGTGTACCAGGTATAAGCTTATAGCTCAGTTGTTATAATATATTCTGCTATATTCAGAAAATAAAAGGCATTATTGATGATTTTAAATCATTAATGATTTATCAAAATAGTATGTTAGGCGTAGACTGGCGGACTGCTCTAAAATGGTAGGAAACTAGGAACTATCTTTTGAGAGGTAGGTACCTACCTAAGTTGTTTAGTTAGAGTTTTTTGGGTGAGAGGAAAGTCTGTAGATACACGGATTTGTGGTTTCTCGTTACTCGTTAGTGTGGTTGTTTGTTTTAGACCATTGATGGAAATTTCCGGAATTTTTTTTAAGTGTTTATGAACTTGACATTCTTTATAGTTAGTTGGATGAGGCGCTTATGAAGCGGGTCCAAACCCAAACCAAGAGGCAAGAGCAAGAATCATATTACTATATTAGAATACAATAACATTTATAATTGATTACCATAATGTAAATACAAGAACTAGTACAGTAGTACCATTGATAAAAATATATACATTTAATCAATGGTAAACGGTAGTACAATGACCACGACTTAGAGTTTGTTCTGGTTATTATGGATTATTGTCTATTTAGTATTTAATATTAAAAAATATTAACTTGCCTATATAATGCCCCTTAAATAGGAGCCCTGTGAAATAAGCTTAATTAATGTTTGTAAACAAAATGATAAATACGTGATATTGTGATAATGATTAAATAAACAACCGTTTGCCAACTCAATGGATAATTTTGTAAAAGACAGTTTAAACATTTTAACAATTTTAGATTCTGAGTGGAATGATGAATGTATTGATTTTACAATGATGTGTGTTTTAGATTCTGAGTGGAACGATGAATGTATTGATTTTACAATGATGTGTGTTTTTTTTTTAATTTTTAATTTTTAATTTTTTTTTGTGTCTGTCATCACGTTTTAGGACAGTAAAAGTGCTTGGATATTCTTCAACAGTAGCTTTTCTGATAGGAAAGTGAATCTAACTGGTACTTTGGGGGGGGGGGGGGGGGGGGGGGGGGGGGGGGGGGGGGGTCAAAAGTCAAAATTTACCAGTTATTTTCAAGAGCGGGAAAAACGGGAATTTTTACACTAAAATCTGTTTTCGAAAAAATCGATTTTGGTTTTTGGTGCAACTCTTAAACAAATGACCGTAGGTACATGAAATTTTTACTGAATGTTTATATTAGCTTTTTTTACACACGATAACATTTTCAAAATGTTTTGATTTATTTTGAACTGTTTATGCACATTTTCATTTTCCATTTTTTTTAGTTTTTTTTCTAAAAATATCAATAAAATTTTATTTGTTTGTTAAAAAAGGTTGAAAATTTAATACAAGGCTTCTACTATATTTTTACAATGGCATTTGAAAAATATTAAAAATCCTTAGTCACAGTTTTTTTTTATAAGCATTTAAACTTCAAACATTTACAAAATATGGAAAAATCACGAAAATTAGCAAATTATTTTGAGTTAAGAATTCGTAAAAATTTTTCTTTTTAAACCTAAGGTTTTAAAATGTAATACAAGATTCCTTATAAGATTATCTACCTTTATCAAAAAAAAAAAACCTCTATAAGAAAGTCTAATTAAATTTTTATGAGCGTTTGAAATTTAAATTTTTACAACATTGGATATTAACTCGATTTCTCATGCAGCGATTTCCTTATTTTGTTGTAATTCAAAAACGAATTACTGTAGATACATGAAAATTTCACTGAATATTTATATTAGCATTTCCTATACACCATACAATTTTGACTCTTTTTGAGCGGTTTACGGACATTTTAAATTTTAAATTTTTTTAGTTTAGTTTTCTATAAATATCAATAAAGTTTTATCTGTTGGGCCAAAAAAGTGTAAAAATTAAATACAAGGCTCCTGATATATTGTTACAATATCAGTTGAAAAATATTAAAAATACATAGGCACAATTTTTTTTATAAGCATTTAAAGATCGAATTTCGACAAAATTTATCAAATTTAAAATTGAATAATTATTTTGTAGTTAAAAATGTATAATATGTTCAACTTTTATATCTAAGGATTGAAAATTTAAAACAAGATTCCACGTAAGTAGTTAATTCTGTTAACAAAATAATCTAAAAAATACATAAGCACAGTTTTTTTTTATAGTCATTTTAAGTTAAAATTTGGACGAAATTACATAAAAAAAAACCTAGAATAACTATTTTAGTTATTTTGTTGAGATTGTATAATATTATTCGTGGGTACCTACCTACTTGATACTTCTAAAGTATACTACTATATATCTATGATAGTATCAGAGTTTGTGGTTGACGTATAACGCATTATAAGTACCTGATGGACATTGTCATATGATTAATTTGGAATTTATTATAGGTACCTATTTTAGGTAATTTTTTTTTAATACGATAGATCAGTATATAATATGTCTTATACCTAGACTGACATACCGTCTCCGCTCAGAATCGTTTTTCTTATACAATGATATTTTATCATTGAATTCAAATTTTATATTATCCATTATACTGTGACCCACTTGTAACCTACTGTACAGCAGAGTACCTTTTTATATGTAATATTGATTTTGTAGGGGAAGAACGGGTAAAGTTCGATACATTTTTTTACACTGTTTTTTTTGATAAAAAAAGTGATAAAATAATATACCATTATAGTATTATACCAATATCAACTATAACCTCTTAAATGTAATGTATATTTGTATATGCAGAGAAGATATATTATTGTGGAATAAAATATAACTAAATATAAATGTGAGAGCTAAAGCATTCATAATCATCCAAATTGAAATCGATTTATCGTATATGCACATGCTCCGTTTTAAGTCATATTATATAAATATAAACCTCGAGATAAACGTCCAGTCGTGTATCATATGTTTTCATTTCCCCCCCATATAATCGTGCAATGAGATACAAAACTAACAGTATATGTTATATATTAATACAACAGTCTGAAATATTAAAATAGGTACCTACGTGTAAGTAGTTGAGAATAACCAAGAAATTGTAAAAGTTATAAAATAAATCATTATAGTTTAACTGAAATGCAATATTGATGTAGTCCGATGTAGGTATCTATATTAATTTTTTTTATATCATATTAACATATATTTTCAAGTGTGTTTTGTACGAATTTTAGAAATGTTTAGGAAAAAAAATAGAAAATAGTATTTCTAGAATACAAAGGTAATTAGTAGACTTCAGTTACTTATATAATATTGCAAAAAGAAACAATTTAAATTCTATGTGTACGTATTGCGAGTAGATTATTATAACGCAACAATATCTAGTATCCCACCCACATATTACCTAATTTCTTTAGGCCTTCAAATTATTATTCGTTCTTTTTTTTAGCATCTCAATGCAGTTAATGACATCATAAATATTACTGCAGTTACATTATAATGGTAACACAAAAAGGAATAATATAACAGTTAAATGATGGTACCACGACATCGTATTATTGTATATTAGCCATTAGGTTTACATTACGACAGCATATTTGGTACGCATAAACTTTATCGGGGAGAGGTGTTTCCATGAGCATATACCACGGTTACGGACGAATAATAATTTATGAAAAAATGCAAATGTAGACTAATGAAACAACCCACTAAAAATGTATAACGTTGTACCTTGAATAGGTACGTAACAATTAATACAACTTACTATAT